ATCATTGAAAGTATCGTCAGGGCACTTATAATCGGCGGGGTGAGCTACGAGATAAGTTCGGGCTCAACAATACACTTTGATGCCTTAGGTCACAAAGAAATGGTGCACGCTGTACATACGCATGAATATATATATATGGAAAACCCTCGAGGTATGAGGGATTCGACAAAATTTGTATCGGTGGGCCCGATTTGGCAATAGTCGGTAATCGCCGATGGTCGATCAATCTCAAGTTTCGATGATCAGGCAACTCTGTTGTTGGCTTCGACCACCATCCCCCTCCTGTTCGACGGTTGCAGAGTGCATCGGGCACTCTGGGCCGGGTTCTAGCACCTATCTGCAGTGTCTGGACACGCCACTGTACGTTTTTGGAGGATTTCAACGGCTGGACGGTGCACAGGGGCACAGGGGGCTTCTCACAAGAGGACGAGATGAGGGGAAGGAACGAGAGGAGACCCGGGCAGCGGGAGACCTCTAAGGTGCGTGGCCCTATGACACATAGCTTTACCGACGGACTAAGGATGTTGTTGCCCCCCTACAGCCATGTCAATTGGGAGCCGCGGTGTGACGAAGGACACCCCTCCCTTGAGTGCTGCCACGTCACTCTGGCCACGGACGAATCGCAAGAGGGCACGGGACGATGGCAGTACCCCCAGATGATGCGCCACGGATGGCGCGAGCTCACAGCGCCAGACGCCGCCGGCCTGTTACGCTCTATGGCGCGAGTGCAGACACAGGCACCACCCTGCGTCGATTTCGACAATGGGTGGACTGTTTGTTGCAACGGTGGTCAGGGTGTGGGCAGGCATGGGTGGGGAGTGGTGCGGCGAGGTACGGGAATTTTGGCGCGGCCAGGAGAGCCTCGAGGGCGTCGACTTGGAGGGGGGGGGAGTCCTTGACCGCCGGACGTTTACGAAGGCACACAGCAGGCTCCACGCAGGTGCCACCTCACGTCCTATATGACGGGGGAAGCCCGTGGAGCCTTCATTGTGCATCGGTAATGGGTGTGGGGGTCGGAAGACGTCGTGGATGGACAGGATGTGGGACAAATGGGTACAAGTACGAGTGACGACGAGTATAGGCACCTGGAGGCAGCTCAATGAAGGGCTGATAATACAATTGGGGGCGGCTCGAGGGGTAGGAAGGAGGGAATGATTTGGTAGTTGTATATATTGTAGATGACTGGGTGACATGTAGATATTATTGTAGTTGGGCTTAGGGGAGTTCTAATTGGCAGTTGTAAAATAGGACATGAATTGTGTGATAAATATACACTAGTTATATACATCCAGGGATTATAGGAGTATATCTGCCCAACGACAGCACTGTCGTTCACTTATTTATCGCTCTAGGGACCGTTCCAATTTGAACGACAGCACTGTCGTTCAGATTAGAACTGCTCTGAGGGCACTTTTAAGAACGACAGTGCTGTCGTTCAAATTAAAACGGCTCTGAGGGGACTTTGATGAAGGACTTAGGGTTATGGGGACGTTTTTTGGTTTCTAGGGTGGCATTAGGGTTGAAATATTTTCTGGTAGGGATGGGTAGGGATGGGTAGGGATGGGTAGGGATGGGTAGGGATGTGTAGGGACAGCTAGGGATGGGTAGGGATGTGTAGGGACAGCTAGGGATGGGTAGGGACAGCTAGGGATGGGTAGGGATAGCTAGGGATGTGTAGGGACAGCTTGGTTATCCAGTCACACACACGACGTTCGGGGATCTTCATGAATGGGATGGGTGGGTTGACCTCTCAGTATATAGCCACCAACATATCACTCAGGGGATCTGACGCATGGGGAACTGTGGTTGCAGACAGTAGTTGCAGCAGCCCATTCACTTATGCACGGGGAACTGAGTCTGTCGACAGTGGTTGCAGCAGACCATCCACCAATGCATGGGGAACTGTGGACATGGACGCAGACTGTGCTTGTAGCAGCCCGTCCACTGATGTAGCACGGGGAACTTCATCTGTGAACAGTGGCAGCAGCAGCCCTTCCACTGACGCACGGGGAACTGTGGATGCAGACAGTAGTTGTAGCAGTCCATCTATTGGACGCACGGGGAACTACATGCGCAGACGGTGGTTGCAGACCATCCACCAATGCACGGGGAACTGTGGACACAGACAGTAGTTGTAGCAGTCCATCTATTGGACGCACAGGGAACTATGTGTGCAGACGGTGGTTGCAGCCCATCCACCATCGCACGGGGAACTGTGGATGCAGACAGTAGTTGTAGCAGTCCATCCACTGACGCACGGGGAACTGCGTGTGCAGACAGTGGTTGCAGCTCATCCACCGACGCACAGGGAACTACATGTGCAGACGGTGGTTGCAGCCCATCCACCATCGCACGGGGAACTGTGGATGCAGACAGTAGTTGTAGCAGTCCATCCACTGACGCACGGGGAACTGCGTGTGCAGACAGTGGTTGCAGCTCATCCACCGACGCACAGGGAACTACATGTGCAGACGGTGGTTGCAGCCCATCCACCATCGCACGGGGAACTGTGGATGCAGACAGTAGTTGTAGCAGTCCATCCACTGACGCACGGGGAACTGCGTGTGCAGACAGTGGTTGCAGCTCATCCACCGACGCACAGGGAACTACATGTGCAGACGGTGGTTGCAGCCCATCCACCAACGCACGGTTAACTGTGGACGCAGACAGTAGTTGTAGGAGTCCATTTATCGGACGCACGGGGAACTGCATGTGCAGATGGTGGTTGCAGCCCATCCACCATCGCACGGGAAACTGTGGATGCAGACAGTAGTTGTAGCTGTCCATCTATCGGGCGTGTGGGGAACTACGTGTGCAGACGGCGGTTGCAGCTCATCCACCAATGCACGGGGAACTGTGGTTGTAGCAGTCCATCTATCAGACGTACGGGGAACTGTGTACAAACGGTGGTTGCAGCCCATCCACCAACGCACGGGGAACTGTGTACAAACGGTGGTTGCAGCCCATCCACCAATGCACGGGGAACTGTGGATGCAGACAGTAGTTGTAGCTGTCCATCTATCGGACGCAAGGGAAACTACGTGTGCAACAGGGAACTGCATGTGCAGACAGTGGTTGCACAAGCCTATCAACCGACGCACGGGGAACTGTGGATGCAGACAGTAGTTGTAGTAATCCTTTTACTGATGCACGGGGTCGTATGCGGACAGTAGTTGCAGCAGCTCATCCACTGATGCACGGCGAACTGTGAACCTAGGTGGTGATACCTATCCAGACGGTAGTTGCAGCAGCTAATCCACTAATGCACATCAAACTGTGGACCCAGACAGTGATTGCAGTACCAACATACGAGCAACTACAGATCCAGACAGTGGTTGCAGCAGCTCATGTACCTATTCATGGCGAGCTACAGACCCAAACGGATGGCATGTTGAGACACACTAACTTCTATGCCTTGAACCTACCACCTCGAACCTCGAACCTCAAATCTCGAATTAGTTGTTGTAGCAGCTCATCTACAAATGCATGGCGAAATACAGATCCAGACCTCAGACGTCCATCGGACCTACTTCCGACCTTCCAAATCTCCAGCTTCAAACCTCGAATCTCGAATCTCGAACCTCGAACCTCGAACCTCAAATCTCGAATTAGTTGTTGTAGCAGCTCATCTACCAATGCACGGCGAACTACAGATCCAGGCGATCAACTTTGATCTGTTCTTCGCTGATCATCAGTGATGTCATTTGTAAGAAGTCGGTACATCACAGCCAAATGGGCTTAATTTTATCAAAAGAACAATTGTTCTCTATAATTATTGTCACGGACGAGATTCGAACTCGCATCTCCAGGTACCTGAAAGACAGTCTCTGGACGCTCTACCTGTTGAGCTACATGGCAATTTAGATAGTAATGATATTCACAATTTTACCTTGTTCTGGGTTTATTGTATTACATCGTATGTTGGCACCTCATCTACCAATGCACGGGGAACTACATATCCAGACAGTCGTTGCAGCAGCACATCTACAAATGCACGGGGAACTACAGATCCAGACCGTTGTTGCAACAGCTCATCTACCAATGCACGGCGAACTACATATCCAGACCGTTGTTGCAACAGCTCATCTACCAATGCACGGCGAACTACATATCCAGACGGTGGATACAGCACCTCATCTACAATGATCATTGAAATAACTTATCTACAAATTCTGCATCAAGATGGAGGTTGTGGCAGCTCATCTACAAATGCACGGTGAACTACAGTCTACAGATCCAGAGGGTCGTTGTAGCAGCTCATCTACTAATGCACAGTGAACTACAGATCCAGACAGT